GTGAGGAGCGGAATACCTGCCATTGTGGTCTCGCATTGTATCAACCTCTCTCTTTGTCTCTTCCGGTTGTGTGTCTCCACAATGTTCTTGTCTTTCTTGCCAGGAAGGCCTTGCAGGTATTCCCTTGGTTTTGGACATGTTTGAGCAAAGCAGTTGAACCTTTTAGTGATGACTTCACTCCTGTCTGCTCAGATTCTGCTTCAGCCAAACAAAAATGAAAAGTTAAGTTCTTAAAAAGTCAAGAAATGAAGTGCAGACAGGGAATGAGGAGTCAAAGCATCAGAAAGAAAGAGAATGTACATGAATGTGATAGATGTTATTAATGATTCACCCAAAATATCATTTTTTAATTTTTTGATTAACCTGACCAGCGTAAGCTTGAGAATTCCCAACTCCTCAGTGTGTGGAGTGAGTGACATAAGCACATGGGATTAAAGCAGGCCCACAGTATGGCTAAGTCAGATGGTGAGAGGAATATGAATATAACCATGCATATATTAAAATAATTCCAGATGAAATATTATAAAATTACATGTCTTGCATTCACAGTTCTGAATTTCTTTTTTCTAGCTTTTTGGCTGTGTCACTTTTTGCATTTTTGTAGGAATGTAGCAATGCAGGCCATATTCAATCACATTTAGGATGACTGCAAATCTGGTGCAATAATCAGCACCAAATCTAAACTTTCATTTGCCTTTTCAGCCTTTGCTTCTCTTGTTCCAGTGAAATTATTGAACACTGGTGAGAATGTTGTCCAGCTACAATCTGAGAACGGAATTGATCCTTTGGCATCGATGACAACATACCTACAGCAAGCCATTTCTCGGGAGCAATAGGAACAGAAAAGGCTGGACCTCAGACATTACCTCTCTTTCTGTCTTTACAGATGCTGCTTGTTTCCAGCATTTTCTGCTTTTATTTCAGATTTCCAGCAACAGCAATAGTTCGCTTTCTGATTGTTTTGTAGTGCAGATATCATTGCCTAACTTTTGCAAAACTGTCAAATGCATCAGTTGTGATTGGTAATAAAATTTGCTATCAATTATATCATCACTGTAGATTTTTGTGTGATTTCTGTATGCTTCTCAATCATATTTTCTCACTCTTTCAAGACAGGAATGTTGATTTTTGTGATGTGGTTTCCAAATTTGCATTGTTATTAATTTAAAGTGCTTACAAAGTGGAGACAGTGAACACGAATTTTTTTGTGACTTATGTCCATATCTACCTCCAAGCAGCACCACAAACCGTTCTGCAGTGTCATTTAGAGCTGCATACTGGTTGGAGAATGAGGTGCACTTGGGGGATTCCTGCATAGCATAGTAGTCGCCCATTGCCCCTCTGCCTGCATGTTCTTAAACTGCTAGGTTCTTACAGTGCTCTCTCATCAGTCTTTTTAATTTTCAGTGCTTTTTCTGTCTCCTGCTGACTCCCTTAGGCTTGCTGTCTGTCTCTACTGACTCCCTGCCTTTAATTCTGGGTCTGTGGCATTCTTTCTCCTTGGATTCTGTCTTGACTGCTGGACAAACCTTCAGGAGTCAAGAGGTGAGTTGCTCACTGGAGGATTCCTAGCTCTCCCTGCTTTCGCTCTCTCACTAGCACTAACACACATGCAGGCAGACGCAGACACACAAACAGACACAGACACACCTTGCCTGCGACCCCGTAGCTAAAGAACACAGTATGACTTTGGTGAGGAAGCAAGGATGCTGTCAACTATAAAACCATATCCGAGCATGCCTCCATCTCTTACAGGGAAAAAATTCAAAGAGAGCTGTGTACGGTTTTAATAAAAATCATAGGATGTGGGCATTGCTGGCTAGGCCAGCATTTGTTACCCATCTCTAGTTGCCCTCGAGAAGGTGGTGTTGAGCTGCTGCCTTGAACTGCTGCAGTCCATGTGCTGTTTCAGTACCAGACGTGAAGAACAGACAGTAAGTGCTTTACATTTTGCTGTATTTCTCTGCATTCATCTTGCTGTCGGTTGAACTGGTCCTTCACTTGACCACTTAACACTCTCTATGCTCGTTTTAGTTTCTTCCCAAAGTGATCTCTAACGATTGTACTTCTTTTGCAGTATTTTGGCCAGATGAGCAGGGTGGATGGAATTTCCGATCTTCCCAGTGTCCCAGTAGGAGGACAACAGCCCCTCCTCGAATATGGGAGAGCTCCTCAACAGGCATCTCTTGTTGACAATGCCATGTTACAAGACAACACCAGTGAAGTTGGAATCTTGCAGGATAGCTCTGTAAGTCACGAGATGGTGGGTTCTCACCGCCTCCTGCAGAGCGGAGCAATTAGCCATCAAGGAATGATAACTGGCAGTGACCCAATGACTCAGACCACCTTGAGAAATGCAGATGGACCAGACAGTCATGCTGCTGTTACTGTGACACAGAGTTTACCCTGTGCAACCCAAGTAAGTACCTTTTCTCAAAAGCTCTAAAGAGCATTGGGAGTCCCAAGTATGCAAACATGAAAAGCTAGTCGATTGGTTTGTGAGCCTGTCAAAAAGGCCAATGGAGTGCTGACCTTTATCTTGAACGCAAGAATACAAGAAGGAGGAAGTTATGCTTGAGTTGTATAGTGCCTTGATCAGACCCCGTTTGGAATACTAGGTTCAGTTCAGCACCCTTGAGGATGGATCTATTGGTCTTGGAGGGGTTGTAGCACACATTTACCAAAATGGTACTGGATTTAACAGAGTTAAATTGTGAAGACAGATTTCATAAACCTGGATTGTATTCTCTTGAGTATAGAATATTGAAAGATGATCTGATGTTTAAAATGTTAAAAGATTCTATAGGGTAGATACTGTCACAACCTCCTCTTCCGTTATCTTTGCTTCCATGCTTGTTTCTTTGGACAAGAATCCTATTCCCCCCCCCCATATAGAGCCTTTCACCTGTCTCAATACTCCTGCTCCACCTGACCCCTCCCTCTGGCTGTTTACTGGCATTTTATCTCTTCTTTAAGAACTGCTGATGTGACATTGGCTGCCTTAGTTTCTGTGCTCCCCTCACTCACTTGAACCTGTCTCCCTATGAGCTTGCTGCGCTCTGTTCTCTCAGGTCCAACCCCTATCTTGCTATGAAACCTGCTGATAAGGGAGGATGCGATCGTCTTTTGGTGTGCAGGCCTCTATCTGGCAGAGGCTGAGTGCCAACTCTCAGACACTTCCTCCTATCTCGTCCTGGGTCATGACCCCATTGCTGAACACCAAGCTGTTGTTTCCAGGACTGTCATGGACCTCATCCCTGATGGCGATCTCCCCTCCACAGCTTTCTATCTCTCAGTCTGCCAACCCTGCCGAGCCTGCATCTCCCTCCTTCCCAAAATCCACAAACAGGACTGTCCTGGCAGACCCATTGTTTTAGTTTGTTCCTGCCCCGCTGAACTTTTTCTTCCTATCTTGACCCTATTTTGCCCCCTTTCATTGTCCAGTCTCTTCCTCTTACATTCATGATCGTCTTCCCTAAATTGATAGGTCAGTAGTGGGAATGTTATTGATGCCTGCATAATGTGTAGTTCCATTTCTGGTTCCTCGTACTGATGCAGTCTGTGCCCGCAACACCTGGAAAGCATTCAGACTTGGACTGATTGGATAGATGGTAGCATTAGCAGTAATGTTACTGGACTAGTAATCCAGGCAGCTCGGCTGATGCTCTGGGGATGAGTTCAAATCTCTCCATGGTAGTAAGGAGAATTTTAAATTCAATTAATTTATAGGTCTGGAATTAAAAAAATTGGTCTCTGTAATAATGATCTTAAATCTGTGTTACCCAGGTCACTGCACCATCAGCTAATAGGAGAGATTTTTTCTACCTTACCTTAGCATGTCATGATCTTGTACACATTTCATAGAAGATCATAGAATCCCTACAGTGTGGAAACAGGCCTTTCAGCCCAACAAGTCCACACCGACCCACAGAGGAGCCCACCCAGACCCACAATCCCTAATCTACACATCCCTGAACACTACGGGCAATTTAGCATGGCCAATCCACCTAGCCTGCACATCTTTGGACTGTGGGAGGAAATCGGAGCACCCAGAGGAAACCCACGCAGACGTGGGGAGAATGTGCAAACTCCACACACAGTCACCCGAGGGGTGAAATCGAACCCGGGTCCCTGGTGCTGTGAGGCCGCAGTGCTAGCCACTGAGCTGCTGTGCTGCCCCGAACATACTTTCACCCCAGATGGGACACGAGCCCACAATCCCTGGCTTAGGAGACCAGTGCCTTATCCATTTATCAAATGTCCCCTCGTTCGCTGAGGAGAATAGCCCTCCCCTTTCTAATCTAACTGTGTAACTAACATATCCCATTTTCAAACTATGCTGGAAAATCTCAAAAGATTTTAATTTAAACTTAGTTAGCCAAATGGCAGTTGATTTTTCTTTTTCTGTAAAACATTTTAAGTGATTTGATTGGTTGCATAAATGATAAAATTGTGAATGTCAATGTGCAGTTTGCTTATCACAAAGGGCAACATGTTCCTATTTTAGGGCTGGCAGACTCTACCTTACGAATGTTTACATAGACACATTTTAAACATTAAATGTAGCATGGCTCAAAGTCATGGAGCCTAGGAAGTAAAGTATGTAGGTAGGCAAGATTTTTAATACCATACAGAAGGGAATGATGGCTTTGGGGCAATATAATTGATGTAATAATCTTTAAAAGTAATAGATTTATCATCATGCAAAATGCCTTATCAGTTAAGTTTTCAAACTAGACTCTTAAACTACGTGAACAAAGCAAACCTCATAGGTGTGCCTTTATTGGTCGGGGCATTGAGTACAAGAGTTGGAAAGTGATGTTACAGCTTTATAAACTTTGGTTAGGCCACACTTAAGAGTATTGCATTCAGTTCTGGTCGCTACATTACAGAAAGGATGTGGAGGCTTTGGAGAGGGTACAGAAGAAGTTTACCAGGATGCTGCCTGGATTAGAGCGCATGAGCTATAAGGAGAGGCTGGGCAAACTAGAGTTGTTTTCGCTGGAGCGGCAGAGGCTGAGGAGGAGATCTGATAGAAGCTGATAAAATTATGAG